CTTTTGTGGTCACAATTTCAGTAGTCACTTTATCTTTTGGTACTAATTGATTCTTGACCTGGACACCTTCCTTGGAGTGCCCAGTGTTCCTAAATTGGGTACGAGGCCAGTTGTCAGCTGCAGTGGTACTCTTACTGTTAGGGTTGTAAGGATCTTTCTTCCTTGGAAACCATGCTCCCCTCCCTTTTTCACTGTCATTAGTGAACAAGGTAGTGGTAGCCTCTACGAACCAGGTCCACTTTATCAAGATCATTCATTACTTTTTCTAGATTGGCTTAAAGGAGATCATTTTTCTCAATTTCAGCACTCATCCTACATCTCAAGGCCTTCACCTCATTCTCAAGCCTAAAATATTCCCCACTAACTATCTCCTTTCCCTTTTCAGAGCTTTCAGGTTTTGACTTAGTCAAGGGCTTTACTACTTGTTCCCTTTGGTCAGCAGTTTCTGCCAAGAGATCACTATTTTCTTTTCTAAGAATTTCAATGGCTTTCTTTTGATCAGTAATTGCAGCCACTTAGTCTTCTCTAGTATGTTCAGATTCTTCTAGTTCTAAGAACAAGGAATCCCTATCCTTCGCAAGACTACAAAAGGCAGTAATTAAAACATCAGCTAAACACATGAGTTTTTTTGGAGAATAGGATTTCAGATTTTTTCGAACATCCCTCAAGTTTACCTCTTCTTGCCAGTGTCTTCATCATTGTCTGATTGAGCCATCAAAGCAAGCGTTGAGTCATATCCAATCTCCTCACCTTCAACTGCTATCGTAGAACTATCATCAGTATTAGATTTATCTTATTTTACTTGTGTAGTTCCCTCATAAGCTATTTGCAAAGCTTCTCATATTTTCTTGGCAGTGCCGCATGTAGAGATTCTATCGTACTCTTTAGGTCCCAAACCATATACCAGAATTTTCTTGGCACAAAAATTCTTCTCCACCGCTTTCTTGTCTGCTTCAGTGTATTCTCTGCAAGTCTTTTTTTATTGAAAATGGAAATTCATTTAGTACCTTGATTGGAACAAACAGACCTTCGCAGATGATATCCCAAAGCTCACATTCCTCAGCCATGATGAAATCATGCATTCTAGCTTTCCACCACCAATAGCATTTTCCATCAAACCTGAGTGGGTGATATATGGATTGACCTTCTTCAAAATTTAGTGGAGCCGCCATGAGGATCCTTCCTAGGTGTAAGCCTAATAGGAGGAACTCGCTCTGATACCGATTGTTAATTTGTATGGGTCCACCAAATCGTAGAGTACCTAGTCATCTACAAGTTTCTGCTGAGCAGTAAGTAAATGAGGCAGAGGATTTTTACGTGGAAAAATCCAGCACAAGGGGATAAAAAACCACGACCTACACTGTAGGCTTTTAACTTCACTAACTTGTAATCTTACCGATTACAAGCCACTTTACAATACTTCCGATTGCAAAGGATTTACTCAAATAACTTGTGGTACCTTTACCACAAGCCACTTTGTGACTATCCTAGTTACAAAGGCTTTTTACTAACTTGTGGTACTGTCACCACAAGCCACTTTGTAACTCTACGATTACAAAGACTTTTCCTTATGACTAAATCTAGGCACAACATAAACTCAACGAGTTTACGAATTTACAAGAGAATTCCTAATCAGTATGCTTCTAAGTAAGCAATTTAGGAGATATAGTACGTACAATAACAAGGTTACAACTCAACTAGGACAACAACAATCAATTTTTTAGGAACTGGTTCGTAGTGGCGTTCAACCTTTTTCTTCAAACTTGAGAGGATGATTTTTCTGTTTTTGCTAGAGGCTTGAATAAGAAACAGAAACCTTCTAGTGACGTTTTCGTATAAAGCCCCTTTGGTACATCTTGATCACATCACTTGAAATGGTGTGAGTACTTTGTTTGGTTAGAGAATGAGTGGGCTGACAATGTGGTGCAGTGCGGTAGAAACAGCATTGTCAGTCACTTTAGTTCCAGCTGTGTCCAAATGACTCTATACTGCTATATAGGAACCACAGGAGCATCATGTCCTTGTTTGGTTCCTAGCTCCTAAATATGTAGCAGTTCATATTTTACCGGAGTCCGTTAAAGTTTGCAGCAATCCAAAGTAGGTCAGGTTCCCTAACTGGTTCTGAGCAGTAAGTTTGTAACCCAACCAAACTATGTTCAAATGACCTAAAATTTTGCACACACATCCCAAATGACACCACGGAACTACTGCAACTCTCGGAATTCCATTTTGACCCATATATCAAAATCTCAACTATCAACCGAAAATCGGCAAAATACCAACTTTGTCATTTCAAGCCTAAATCTACTCTGAACCTCTAAAATACATTCTGATCTCGCTCCTACGTCCCAAATTACCTCCCAAAGCTATCTAAACCATCGAAATTCACATCCGAGTCCCCTAACACATAAGTCAATATCAGGTTGACGTTTCCAACTTAAGCTTCCCAAAAAGAGACTAAGTGTCTCAGACCTTACCAAATCCTTTCCGAACCCAAGCCAACCAACTCGATCACATATAGAACTGATAGACAAAGCAATAAGAGGAAGAAATGGGAAAAATGGAGCGGTAACTAATGAGACGACTGGCCGGATCGTCACATCCTCCCCCTCTTAAATAAACGTTCATCCTCGAACGAGTCAAGAAACATACCTGAAGCCTGAAACAGGTGAGGATATTTTCTCCACATCTCCCGCTCGGTCTCCCAGGTAGCCTCTCCATGGGTCGACCTCTCCACTGCATTTTCATTGAAGCTATATCCTTTGATCTCAACTTTTGAATTTGACACTCTAAAATGGTTGCTGGCTCCACATCATAAGTCAAATCACCATCCAACTGAACTGTGCTAAAATCCAGATGCACACTCGACAAGCTAGGTGGCAAAATAAGTTCATAAGCCACCTTCCTAATCCTCCGAAGCACCTCAAAAGGCCCAATGAACCGAGAACTCAATTTACCCTTCTTCCCAAATCTCATAACACCCTTCATGGGTGAAAACCAACCATGTAGGACACATCTAGAACCTTCCTGTCAGCATAACTCTTTTGTCTCGACTGCGCTGTATGAAGCCTTTCCTGAATCACCTTCACCTTGTCTAAAGCATCATGCACTAAGTCTGTCCCCAATAGCCTAGCCTTACCCGTCTCAAACCAACCAACTAGAGATCTACACTGCTTCCCATACAAAACATCATATGGAGCCATCTGAATACTCGACCGGTAGCTGTTGTTATAAAAAAACTCTACAAGCGGTAGAAACTGATCCCATGACCCTCCGAAATCAATGACACAAGCACACAACTTGTCCTCCAATATCTGAATAGTACGCTCGGACTGCATGTCCGTCTGAGAGTGAAAAGATATGCTCAACTCAACTTGAGTACCCAACTCTCATTGTACCGACCTCCAAAACTGTGAAGTGAATTGAGTTCCCCTATCTGAAATGTTGGAAACTGGGACACCATGCAAACTAACAATCTCCCAGATATAGATCTCTGCCAATCGCTCTGAAGAATAAGTAGTACATACCGGAATAAAGTGTGTGGATTGGTCAGCCAATCCACAATCACCCAAATAGCATCGAACTTCTTCAAAGTCCGTGGAAGCCCAACTAAAAAGTCCATAGTAATCCTCTCCCACTTCCATGCTGGAATATCTATCCGCTGAAGCAAGCCACCCGATTTCTGATGCTCATATTTCAGTTGCTGATAATTGAGACACCGAGCTACAAATCCCAAAATGTCTTTCTTCATTCTCCTCCACCAATAATGTTGTCTCATATCCTGATGCATCTTCGCAACACCCGGATAAATGAAATACCCATAAACTATGGTCCTCCTCCAGAATCAACTCCTGAAGCCCATCTACATTAGGCACACATATCTGGCCCTGCATCCTCAATACCCCATCATCACCAATGGTCACATCCCTGGCATCATCGTGCTGAACTTTGTCCCTAAGGACAAGCAAATGAGGATCATCATATTGGCACTCTCTGATGCGATCATATAAGGAAGACCGAGAAACAACACAAGCCAATACCTGACTGGAATTCGAAATATCTAACCTCACGAACCGACTGACCAAGGCTTGAATATCAACTGCAAGAGGTCTCTCCCCAACTGAAATATATGCCAAACTCCCCATACTCACCGCTAGGGGTGTACAGGCCAAATTGTCAAGCCAAACCGAACCGACGAACCAAGTCAAACCGTAGAAAAAAATCGATTTGTGGTTTGGTTTGGTTGGTTTGGTGTTGGAAAATAAAAAACCGATCACTCTTGGTTTGGTTTGGTATTAACAAAAAAAAAAAGTCAAACCGAATCTAAACCAAACCGACATAGTACATATATATATTTAAAAATTTATACATAAAAATAATAATTAAAATCTAATTTGTAAGTATTTTCTTAACTATTTTTTACTTTTCAATGTCTTGAGATAGGAGTATTATTTATTTGTGCACTTGTAAATTTACTATCCACTTAGTAGATTCTATCTACACAACCCAAATTTGAAGCCCAAACAATAAGACAAAAAGACAATAAATTAGGTCATTCCATATCTTCATTCTTCCGTATCTTTCCCATCTTCCAACTCCAAAGTCAAAGAACCCCAAATAGTGAAAACTCTTCCATCCACTTCACTGGAGCTTCTTAACAAGAATTGCAAAGCAGGAATCTCCTTTGGTAAGCTAAAGCATTATATTAAACTAATTATGTTATTTTATCCCTTTAGATTTGAGAAGCTTCCGAACTTCTTTTTTTCTCGTTTATTTTTCTTTAAATTTCAGTTAATAATTAGAAAGTTTTATTTTCTGTTGAGACTCTCTTTATAGATGGAAAATACCACTGGAATAGATGTGGAGATGATTGTCAATGATCCTCCGATTGTGTTGGTGGCACCTAAAAAAGGTAAAAGCACTCCTCATACACGTTGTAAGCACGTGATTTTTGACCCTCCCCGAGAATTTTCACATTTTTAGCGTGAATATGNATTTCAGCTCATGTTATCGTGGTTCTTTCACTGTTGTCGTGCAGTCCGTTGAGGTCAGTCTTTGTTCGTCGAGGTCCGGCGCGTCGAGTTTGTTCGTGGAAGTCGATGTTGAGGTTCGGTCCATGGCTCTATGCGTTTCTGTTTATTCAGGTTAGTAGGCCTCGATGTATTGGATTAAAGAATTTTACGTTCAATGTTTGAAGTTGCAATATATCAAATTGATATGATAATTTTCTGTTTATGTTTCACCGTATGCATTTTAGTTCATTTTTGTGTTATGTTATTATTGATTACTTGATGTCATTTGATTTAGTTGTATTAGTAGTCCCAAGATTAGTATTGTTATTATTTACGTTCAATGTGTTATGTTATTATTGTCTTAGTTTATTTGGACAAAATTAGTATTAGTACCTGTTGTTGCTACGCCCGAAACACTCATTCGCTTAACTTCTTTTATCAAATCTTGACAAGTTATGAGATTGTAGTTGTGAAGAAGCCGTAAGGTTTAGCACTGTTAAAGGCGTGAAAATGGCATCCTTTAAAAATAAATAAATAATTATAAAAAAAATGAATAAAAAATAATAATAAAAAAAATAAGAATGAGATGAGCCTCGCCGAATAAAAATACAAATTGCGGGGCCCTCAGTAAATACTTGTTAAAATTACTTAGAATTCAGGAGGGTCGTTTAGCGAATTTCACGGCCTCCGCAGAATAATAACGCGATAGTCTCTTTAGGCGCGTGTTTAATAATTTACTTTCTCAAGCTCGGGTGTGCATTTCATGCGACCCAAATCCAAATCTCAAAACATCAAATAAAATGCGTTCCGGATTGTGGGCGCATTTCATGTGGCGCAGTCCAAAGACGTGTTTTAAGCGATGTTCACCTTCTTGTAAAAACAATAATAATAAAGCGGTTAAAAGTTAAAATTGGCATATTGGTTCATATTGTATTTAAAATCAGATAATCAAGCCGAATATAACAATTGAGCGACCGTGCTAGAACCACGGAACTCGGGAATGCCTAACACCTTCTCCCGGGTTAACAGAATTCCTTATCCGGATTTCTGGTACGCAGACTGTAATATAGAGTCATTCTTTTCCTCGATTCGGGATTAAAATTGGTGACTTGGGACACCCTAAATCTCCCAAGTGGCGACTCTGAAATAATTAAACCAATCCCGTTTCGATTGTCCTTTAATTGGAAAAAACTCCCCTGCGCCCCCCGGGCGCGGAAAAAGGAGGTGTGACACACGCACTCCTCCTAAAAAGAAAAAAAGGACAAATCCTTCAGATCTCGATTCTAAGCCTGGTAATACTAGAAGAGAAACATCTGAGATTTGGAATCACTTTACAAAATTTATTGATAAAGGAGGCAGACGTAGAGCAAAATGCAATTATTGTGTAAAACACTTTGCTTCCGAGACCAAGACTAATGTAATTTCTACTTTGTGGAATCATTTAAATTTCATGTGTCTTAAATCTCCCTTTAGATTTATTGATATGTAAGTTGGGTTGTAGACTTGTAGATTTTGGTTTATCACATGTTTGTTGTCATTTTCTATTATAGAAGGTCTTGGAATTATGATTCATATGGGCATTTGCTATTTCTCGTAAATTATTTTAATGAATAGTAATTATGCGGACAATTGGTGATTATTTGATCTCTTTTTCAATTATAATATTACTAAAAAGGAAAACCAAAAATAAACTGAAAAACCGAGGAAACCGATAATAACCGAAACCGAAAAAATCGAGTATATGTTGGTTTGATTTGATTTTAAATTTAGTAAATCGACATAATTGGTTTGATTTTGGTTTAATAATAAACCAAACCAAACCGCCTCACGCACACCCCTACTCACCCCCTTTCGGCTCAAAGCATCGGCCACCACATTGGCCTTTACCAGATGGTACAATATAGTAATATCATAATCCTTTAACAACTCCAACCACCTCCGCTGCCTCAAATTAAGATCTTTCTGTTTGAACAAGTGCTGGAGGCTACGATGATAAGTAAACACCTCACAAGACACACCATACAAGTAATGCCTCCAAATCTTTAACGCGTGAACTATGACAGCCAACTCCAAATCATGAACGGGGTAGTTCTTCTCATGGGGCTTCAACGGGCGATAAGCATAAGCAATAACTCTACCCTTTTGCATCAATACACAACCAATACCAACTCTCGAAACATCACAATACACGGTATATGAACCTGAAGTTGATGGCAAAACTAACACTGGAGCTGTGGTCATGGCTGTCTTGAGCTTTTGAAAGCTCTCATCACACTCGCCCGACCATACAAATGAAGCGCCCTTCTGAGTCAACTTGGTAAAGGGCGATGTGATAGATGAGAATCTCCAAACAAAACGGTGATAATAACACGCCAAACCAAGAAAACTACGAATCTCTATGGATGAGTACGGTCTAGGACAACTCTAAACCGCCTCTATCTTCTTTGGATAAACCTGAATACCCTCGCTGGATACCACGTGCCTCAAGAATACCGCGGAACCGAGCCAGAACTCACACTTGGAGAATTTTTCATAAAGTTTCTTCTATCTCAATCTCTGCAATACAACTCTCAAATGCTCGGCATGCTCCTTCTAACTATGCGAATACACCAGAATATCATCAATGAAAACTATGAAAAACAAGTCAAGATAAGGCCGGAACACGCTGTTCATCAAATGCAAGAATGCTGCTGGGGCATTGGTCAGCCCAAAAGACATCACCAAGAACTCATAATGACCATATCGGGTCCTGAAATCTGTCTTAAGAATATCCGAGTCCCTGATATTCAACTGGTGATAACCTGAACGGAGATCAATCTTGGAGAACACCCTCGCTCACTGAAGCTGGTCGAATAAATCATCAATGCGAGGCAAATGATACTTGTTCTTAACTGTTACTTTGTTCAATTGCCTATAATCAATGCACATTCTCATAGTGCCATCCTTCTTCTTTACAAATAGAACCGGTGCGCCCCAAGGCAACACACTAGGCTGAGTAAACCCCTTCTCAAGGAGCTCCTAAAGCTGCTCCTTTAACTCTTTCAACTCCGCTAGTGCCATAAAATGCGGCGGAATAGAAATGGGCTGAGTGCCCGGCATCAAATTAATACCAAAATCAATATCCCTATTCGGTGGCATGCTCGGAAGGTCTGCATGAAACATATCGGGAAAATCCCTCACAACTAGAACATAATCAATACTGGGAGTCTCTGCACCGACATCCCTCACAAAGGCTGGATACGAAAGACAACCCTTCCCAACCATACGATGGGCCTTCGAGAATGAAATTACCCTACTGGGAACATAATTAGACAAACCTCGTCACTCAATCCGTGGTACACCTAGTATAGCCAATATGACTGTCTTGGCATGACAGTTCAGAATAGCACAACATGAAGATAACCAATCCATGCCCAAAATAACATCGAAGTCCACCATATACAGTAATAAAAGATCCACTCGGGTCTCTAGACCCCCAATAATCACCATACACGATCAGTACATACGGTTCATAACAATAGTATCGCCCACCGGTGTAGATACATGAACAGGTGAAACAAGAGACTCATGGGGCATACCCAAATAACGAGCAAAGTATGATGACACATAAGAAAAGGTGGAACCAGGATCAAATAATACAAAGGCATCCCTGTGGTAGACTGAAACAATACCTGTAATAATAGCATCAGAAGCAATAACATCGGGTCTAGCTGGAAGTGCATAGAAATGAGCCTGACCGCCACCTGATCGACTTGCCCCTCTAGGGAGACCCCTAGCTGACTGACCTCCACCCTTAGCTGGGTGGGTGGGTGGTGATGAAGTAAATGGTGCTAAAGCCGATGACTGACCCCTCTGCTGAGATGAACCCGCAAGACGACGAGGACACTGCCTCTATATATGACCCATCTCTCCACACTCATAGCAACTCTCAGGTGCTGGAGAAGGGGACTAAAAGGAACCCCTAGCATCGGAACGACTAGCTGATGCACCTAGCATAGAAGAGCCCTGAACTGATAGAGCACAGGATGAACTCTGAGCTGGAAAGGCACCAAGTGATGACTGGCCCTGCTGAGAACTGTGAGAACCATGACCCGATGACACCCCACAATAACCTGGGCAAACTGGCTGAGCATGCCTAAATGGACGGCCTCTGACGTATTGAAACTGACCTCTCGAAGAAGCACCACTATAATTGCTAGATCCCCGAGGCCTCTAGGCCTCCCTCTCCTCTCGTTCCCAGCGATGGACCGAATCAATCTCTTGAGCAATGTCTACAACCTCCTAAAATGTAGCACTAGTCACCCTTTCCCTGGTCATGAGAATACGAAGCTAATAAGTGAGACCATCAACAAACCTCCTAATCCTCTCTCTATCTATCAGAACCAACCAAATCGCATGGCGAGCTAACTTAGAAAACCTTATCTCGTATTGCATCACAGTCATCTCTCCTTGACGCAACCACTCAAACTCCCTATGCAGCTCCTCTCTGCGAGACTGCGGAACATAATTCTCCAGAAAGAGAACGAAGAACTGCTTCCAGGTAAGGGGTGTTGCACCAACAAGCCTACGCCTCTCAAATGCCTCCCACCAAGTGAAGGCAGCTCCAGAAAACTGATAAGTAGTGAAAATGACCCCGCTGGTCTCCAGAATACCTGCTGTACGAAGCATCGTCTGACACTTATATAAGAAATCTTGGGCATCCTCGCCCTCTATACCACTGAAGGTCGGAGGCTGCCAAACCTCTCCAACCTGCGCTGCTCGTCCTCTAGCATGGAAGGAACTACATAGTCCTGAGCAGCTGCAACCAGCTGCGCTGGATGTGCCCCCAGTATCTAAAGTCAATACACGACTTGCTCAGGTGTGCGACCGGCGGGAGTCTTATTGCCTCCCCCGACCTGAGAAGTAGTTGCAGCTGTAGTGACTAACACTGCCTAGGCTAGGCCAGTGCAAGCTGATAGAATCTAAGCCAAGGCCTTCTGAAGACCCGGAATCACAATGGACACAGCTGGTACCTAAGCTGGTGCTGCTTGAGCATCCACAACTAGGACCTGATCCTGAACTAGGGCAGCTGGTGGATTTGCAGGTGCTTCCCTAGTTGTTGTGCGGGCCACACCTCTGCCCTTACCGCGACCACGACCGTGTCCTTGGCCTCTAGTGGCCACAGCTGGTGGTACTGGTGGTCATCCATCCTGACCGTTAGCGCGTGTCCTCACCATCTGTGAGAGAATAGAATAACAGAAGTTTAGTACTCGGAACAACAAATTCACATGATAAGAATTTCAAGAATATGAAATTTTTCCTAATGGTTCTGCAGCCTCTCGAGGATAAATACAGACGTCTCTGAACCGATCCACAAGACTCTACTAAACCTGCTCATGACTTGTGAGCCCTATGTAACCTAGGCTCTCTTACCAACTTGTCATGACCCTAAACCCGGACCCGGTCGTGATGGTGCCTCTCGTGAAGGCAAGGCCAGTCGACACATTCCCATTCAGTTTTAAGTAATTAAACAATACGAATTAAGTCTAAAACGTGATAAAAAATCCCAAAGTATAAGTAATGAACATCACAATTTGCGAAAATAAGCCCAACACAGCCCGATACCACGGTTTCACTAGTCACGAGAATCTATCAATACACTACAAGTCTGAAATGTCTACCAAAATATTACAAAATAATTGAAAAGAGATAGAGATGAGATAAAATGGGAGAGGCACGGGGCTGTGAACGCCGAGCAGCTACCTCGTGGACTCCAAAATCTGGCGGGAGCTCTCAACCCTCACGAGTAGGATCAACAGTGCTTGAATCTGCACACGAGGTGCAGGGAGTAAAGTGATCATAAATAAAGACTGAAAGCATGAAATCACGTAAGGAACATTATAGGCTATAAGGAAGCAGTAAAGATGTGTAAAATTACTAAGTGCAATTTAAACTTCATAAAATGCCTTTTTAACAATTTAAGCAAGCAAATGACATGCAAAGAGGAAAAATAAACACATAAAAGGATCGCCCCTCAGGCACAGTGTCGACAAATCCACCCCTCGGGCAATATCTCAAAAACAATACTAGAGGGGCTTGTAATTTGTACATTGTTACCCGAGACTGTTAATTTTTGTCGTCAACATATTTTACTAGTTTAAGAATAATTTAAATCTTAATTTATTAAAAGGAAAAAAAGACGTGATGATCAAGTACCAATCGCTTAAACCCTAGCCTTCATAAAGCCATATCCCCATTTAAGGTACTCTATTTCAGCACAACACTCTATTTATTCATAGTTACCTCCGGCGCCGTCAACTAGGGTTTAATTTTTCTCGTCAGAGTCAAAATGGAGAACCCAGAAAACAAGGCGAAATCTGAAAACAAGGGGAAGTCTGAAGAGAAGTGGAAATCTGAAAACAAGCCAAGCACTCAGTCTCAAAAGCATGTTGCAGCCGGTGATAAGGACACAGATCCAACGGTGACTTCATTTCTCATTTTCTATTAACTTTTTGGTTTTTGGTTATGCTATAATTTTTTTTTTCTGAAAAAATGTTTTAGATTTTGTTTGGGTATAAAAATGGGTAATATTTGTTAGTTTATATAGGGAATTTTTTGTGATATTTTTCCAGTGTTAAAAGTTGACAATAGTGTTTTAAGTATTAGATTGCTAAAGAGTAAGAGGTGGGATATTTGTCAAGTTTTTTCTTTTTGGATATTTTCATTATTTAAGGGGAGAAAATCAGTTTAAAAATGACTTTTAGAGAAAATTATATTTCAAGAAAGCACATCCCAGAATTCTGAAATTAATTGTGGGTTTGGCTTGCAGCAATATTTGAAAATAGGCAGAAACCAATTGAGGTTGAGAAGGCAACCGGGAAGAATCCTTACCCACACAAATTCGAACACAAAGTTGAATTGTTGTATATCCCTAATTATGTGAAGTTGAATGGGGCTCTATTGAATTATTCTAGTGAGAAGTTGAATGGGGCTGCATTGAATTATTCTACTTATGATAAAGAATTATATTCATTTGGTAAGGGCTTTTGCTACATGGCAGCATTATTTGTGGCCAAAGGAATTTGTGATAAAAACTGACCATGAGTCTTTAAGATACTTGAAAAGCCAAGGTAAATTGAGTAGAAGACATGCCAAATGAGTTGAATTTCATTGAGACATTCCCTTATGTGATTAGCTACAAGCAAGGTAAAGACAATATAGTTGATGATGCGCTTTCAAGAAGGTACGCTCTTGTTTCTACCCTTACTACTAAATTGAAGAAAGCACATCCCAGAGAAAATTATATTTCAAGAAAGCACATCCCAGAATTCTGAAATTAATTGGGAGTTTGGCTTGCAGCAATACTTTGAAAATAGGCAGAAACCACTTGAGGTTGAGAAGGCAACCGGGAAGAATCCTTACCCACACAAATTCGAGCACAAAGTTGAATTGTTGTCTATCCCTGATTATGTGAAGTTGAATGGGGCTGCATTGAATTATTCTAGTGAGAAGTTGAATGGGTCTGCATTGAATTATTCTACTTATGATAAAGAATTATATTCATTTGGTAAGGGCTCTTGCTACATGGCAGCATTATTTGTGGCCAAAGAAATTTGTGATAAAAACTGACCATGAGTCTTTAAGATACTTGAAAAGCCAAGGTAAATTGAGTAGAAGACATGCCAAAAGAGATGAATTCATTGAGACATTCCCTTATGTGATTAGCTACAAGCAAGGTAAAGACAATATAGTTGCTGATGCGCTTTCAAGAAGGTACGCTCTTGTTTCTACCCTTACTTCTAAATTGAAGGGATTTAATCATATTAAAGATTTTTATGTTGATAATTCTGATTTTGATGTAGCATTTTCAGCATCTTTAAATGGGCCTTTTGAGAAGTATAATCTGAAAGATGGGTTTTTTTTAAAGAGAATAAACTTTGTGTCCCTAATTGTTCTTTTCGAGAAGTTTTGCTGAGGGAAGAACAATGTGGGGGACTTATAGGACACTTTGGTGTGCCTAAAACACTTGACATCCTTGCTGAAAATTTCTTTTGGCTTAATATGAGAAAAGATGTAGAAAGATTTTGTGCTCAATGCCTTTAGTGCAAACAACGCCATACCTGTGCCTATTTCACCTTGTATTGATATTTCTATGGACTTTGTGTTAGGACTACCTAGAACAAGGTATGGTAAGGATAACATCTTTGTTGTGGTAGATAGGTTCTCAAAATGGCTCATTATATTCCTAGTTTAAAGACTAATGATGCTTCTTATGGTGCTGATTTATTTGTTAGAGAAGTTGTTAACTTGCATGGTATACTCGAACTATTGTTAGTGATAGGGATGCTAAGTTTCTAAGCCATTTTGGCGTGTGCTTTGGGGAAAATTGGGAACAAAATTGGTGTTTTCTACTTCATGTCATCCACAAACTGATGGACAACCTGAGGTAGTAGATAGAACCTTAGGAAATATGTTAAGGGCTGTTCTAAAAGGAAAATTAACTTCTTGGGAGGATCACTTGCCTATGGTAGAATTTGCTTACAATCGAACTGTTCATTCATCTACTGGTAATTCTCCTTCTGAAGTTGTTTATGACTTTAACCCCCTCAAACCCCTTGGCTTTAAGGAAGCAAAGGATAGACAAATAGGAAAAATAAACACATAAAAGGATCGCACCTCGGGCACAATGTCAACAAATCCACCACTCGGGCAATATCTCAAAAATAATACTAGCCCCTTGGGCTATATCTCACATCATAATGAGTACCTGCGCTCACTGGGGGTGTGAAGACTTCTAGAGGGGCTTGTAATTTGTACATTGTTACCTGAGATTGTTAATTTTTGTCGTCAACATTTTTTACTAGTTTAAGAATAATTTAAATCTTAATTTATTAAAAGGAAAAAAAGACGTGCTGCTCAAGTACCAATCGCTTAACCCTACCCTCCATAAAGCCATATCCCCATTTAAGGTACTCTGTTTCATCGCAACACTCTCTTTATTCACAGTTACCTCCGGCGCTGTCAACTAGGGTTTAATTCTTCTCGTCGGAGTCAAAATGGAGAACCCAGAAAACAAGGCAAAATCTTAAAACAAGGAGAAGTCTGAAAAGAAGGGGAAATCTGAAAACAAGTCAAGCACTCAGTCTCAAAAGCATGCTGCAGCCGGTGATGAGGACACAGATCCAACGGTGACTCCATTTCCCATTTTCTACTAACTTTTTGTTTTTTGGTTATGCAGTAATATTTTTTTGAATTTTTTTTTTAGATTTTGTTTGGGTATAAAAATGGGTAAAATTTGTTAGTTTATACGAATGATAAGGATACAGGAAATATTTTGTGATATTTTTCCAGTGTTAAAAGTTGACAATAGTGTTTTAAGTGTTAGATTACTAAAGAGTAAGAGGTGGGATATTTGTCAAGGTTTTTTCTTTTTGGATATTTTCATTATTTAAGGGGAGCAAATCAGTTTAAAAAATGACTTTCATAGAAAATTATATTCCAAGAAAGCACATCCCAGAATTCTGAAATTAATTGGGAGTTTGGCTTGCAGCAATACTTTGAAAATAGGCAGAAACCACTTGTGGCTGAGAAGGCAACAGGGAAGAATCCTTACCCACACAAATTCGAACACAAAGTTGAATTGTTGTATATCCCTAATTATGTGAAGTTGAATGGGGCTCTATTGAATTATTCTAGTGAGAAGTTGAATGGGGCTGCATTGAATTATTCTACTTATGATAAAGAATTATATTCATTTGGTAAGGGCTCTTGCTACATGGCAGCATTATTTTTGGCCAAAGGAATTTGTGATAAAAACTGACCATGAGTCTTTAAGATACTTGAAAAGCCAAGGTAAATTGAGTTGAAGACATGCCAAATGAGTTGAATTTTATTGAGACATTCCCTTATGTGATTAGCTACAAGCAAGGTAAAGACAATATAGTTGATGATGCGCTTTCAAGAAGGTACGCTCTTGTTTCTACCCTAACTTCTAAATTGAAGGGATTTGATCATATTAAGGATTTATATGTTGATGATTCTGATTTTGATGTAGCATTTTCAGCATGTTTAAATGGGCCTTTTGAGAAGTATAATATGAAAGATGGGTTTTCTTTTAAAGAGAATAAGCTTTGTGTCCCTAATTGTTCTTTTCGAGAAGTTTTGCTGAGGGAAGAACATTGTGGGGACTTATGGGACACTTTGGTGTGCCTAAAACACTTGACATCCTTGCTGAAAATTTCTTTTGGCTTAATATGAGAAAAGATGTAGAAAGATTTTGTGCTCAATGCCTTTAATGCAAACAAGATAAATCTAAAGTGTTGACACATGGTTTATACACGCCATTACCTGTGCCTATTTCACCTTGTATTGATATTTCTATGGACTTTGTGTTAGGACTATCTAGAACAAGGTATGGTAAGGATAACATCTTTATTGTGGTAGATAGGTTCTCAAATATGGCTCGTTTTATTCCTAGTTTAAGACTAATGATGTTTCTCATGTTGCTGATTTATTTGTTAGAGAACTTGTTAAATTTCATGGTATACTCGAACTATTGTTAGTGATAAGGATGCTAAGTTTCTAAGCCACTTTTGGCGTGTGCTTTGGGGAAAATTGGGAACAAAATTGGTGTTTTCTACTTCATGTCATCCGCAACCTGATGGGCAACCTGAGGTAGTAAATAGAACCTTAGGAAATATGTTAAGGGATGTTCTAAAAGGTAAATTCACTTCTTGGGAGGATCACTTGCCTATGGTAGAATTTGCTTACAATCGAACTGTTCATTCATCTACTAGTTATTCTCCTTTTGAAGTTGTTTATAGCTTAAACCAAATGACAGGCAAATAGGAAAAATAAACACATAAAAGGATCGCCCTTCGGGCACAATGTCAACAAATCCACCTCTTGGGCAATATCTCAAAAATAATACTAGCCCCTCGGGCTATATCTCACATCATAATGGGTACCCGCGCTCACTGGGGGTGTGAAGACTTCTAGAGGGGCTTGTAATTTGTACATTGTTACCTGAGACTGTTAATTTTTGTCGTCAAATTTTTTTACTAGTTTAAGAATAATTTAAATCTTAATTTATTAAAAAGAAAAAAAGACGTGCTGCTCAAGTACCAATCGCTTAAAGCCTAGCCTTCATAAAGCCATATCCCCATTTAAGGTACTTTGTTTCATCGCAACACTCTCTTTATTCACAGTTACCTCTGGCGCTGTCAACTCGGGTTTAATTCTTCTCGTCGGAGTCAAAATGGAGAACCAAGAAAACAAGGCGAAATCTAAAAACAAGGGGAAGTCCGAAAAGAAGGGAAATCTGAAAACAAGCCAAGCACTCAGTCTCAAAAGCATGCTGCAGCCGGTGATGAGGACACGGATCTAACGGTGACTCCATTTTCCATTTTCTATTAACTTTTTGGTTTTTGGTTATGCAGTAATTTTTTTCTGAAAAAATGTTTTAGATTTTGTTTGGGTATAAAAATGGGTAATATTTGTTAGTTTATACGAATGATAAGGATACAGGGAATTTTTTGTGATATTTTTCCAGTGTTAAAAGTTGACAATAGTGTTTTAAGTGTTAGATTGCTAAAGAGTAAGAGGTAAGATATTTGTCAAGTTTTTTTTTTTTTTGGATATTTTCATTATTTAAGGGGAGTAAATCAGTTTAAAAAATGACTTTCAGAGAAAATTATATTCCAAGAAAGCACATCCCAGAATTCTGAAATTAATTGTGAGTTTAGCTTGCAGCAATACTTTGAAAATAGGCAGAAACCACTTGAGGCTGAGAAGGCAACCGGGAAGAATTACCCACACAAATTCGAACATAAAGTTGAATTGTTGTCTATATCTGATTATGTGAAGTTGAATGGGGCTGCATTGAATTATTCTAGTGAGAAGTTGAATGGGACTGCATTGAATTATTCTACCTATAATAAAGAATTATATTTATTTGGTAATGGCTCTTGCTACATGACAGCATTATTTGTGGCCAAAGGAATTTGTGATAAAAACTGACCATGAGTCTTTAAGATACTTGAAAAGCCAAAGTAAATTGAGTAGAAAACATGCGAAATGAGTTGAATTCATTAAAACATTCCCTTATATGATTAGCAACAAGCAAGGTAAAGACAATATAGTTGATGATGCGCTTTCAAGAAGGTACGCTCTTGTTTCTACCCTTACTTCTAAATTGAAGGTATTTGATCATATTAAGGATTTATATGTTGATGATTCTGATTTTGATGTAGCATTTTCAGCATGTTTAAATGGGCCTTTTGAGAAGTATAATCTGAAAGATGGGTTTCTTTTTAAAGAGAATAAGTTGTGTCCCTAATTGTTCTTTTCGAGAAGTTTTGCTGAGAGAAGAACATTGTGGGGGACTTATGGGACACTTTGGTGTACCTAAAACACTTGACATCCTTGCTGAAAATTTCTTTTGGCTTAATATGAGAAAAGATGTAGAAAGATTTTGTGCTCAATGCCTTTAATGAAAACAAGATAAATCTAAAGTGTTGACACATGGTTTATACACGCCATTACCTGTGCCTATTTCACCTTGTATTGATATTTCTATGGACTTTGTGTTAGGGCTACCTAGAACAAGGTATGGTAAGTATAACATCTTTGTTGTGGTAGATAGGTTCTCAAATATAGCTCGTTATATTCCTAGTTTAAAGACTAATGATGCTTCTCATGTTGCTGATTTATTTGTTAGAAAAGTTGTTAAATTGTATGGTATACTCGAACTAGTGTTAGTGATAGGGATGCTAAGTTTCTAAGCCACTTTTGGCGTGTGCTTTAGGGAAAATTGGGAACAAATTGGTGTTTTCTACTTCATGTCATCCACAAACTGATGGACAACCTGAGGTAGTAAATAGAACCTTAGAAAATATGTTAAGGGCTGTTCTAAAAGGAAAATTAACTTCTTGGGAGGATCACTTGCCTATGGTAGAATTTGCTTACAATCGAACTATTCATTCATCTACTGGTTATTCTCCTTTTGAAGTTGTTTATGGCTTTAACTCCCTCAAACCCCTTAGCTTTAAGGAAGCAAATGACAAGCAAATAGGAAAAATAAACACATAAACGGATCGCCCCTCGAGCACAGTGTCAACAAATCCACCCCTCGGGTAATATCTCAAAAATAATACTAGCCCTTTGGGCTATATCTCACATCATAATGGGTACCCGCGCTCACTGGGGGTGTGAAGACTTCTAGAGGACCTTGTAATTTGTACATTGTTACCTGAGATTGTTAATTTTTGTCGTCAACATTTTTTACTAGTTTAAGAATAATTTAAATCATAATTTTTTAAAAGGAAAAAAAGACGTGCTTCTCAAGTACCAATCGCTTAAACCCTAGCCTCCATAAAGCCTTATCCCCATTTAAGGTACTTTGTTTCATCGCAACACTCTCTTTATTCACAGTTACCTCCGGCGCTGTCAACTCGGGTTTAATTCTTCTCGTCGGAGTCAAAATGGAGAACCAAGAAAACAAGGCGAAATCTAAAAACAAGGGGAAGTCTGAAAAGAAGGGGAAATCTGAAAACAAGCCAAGCACTCAGTCTCAAAAGCATGTTGCAGCCGGTGATAAGGACACGGATCCAACGGTGACTCCATTTCTCATTTTCTATTAACTTTTTAGTTTTTTGTTATGTAGTAATTTTTTTCTGAAAAAATGTTTTAGATTTTGTTTGGGTGTAAAAATGGGTAATATTTGTTAGTTTATACGAATGATAAGGATACATGAAATTTTTTGTGATATTTTTCCAGTGTTAAATGTTGACAATAGTGTTTTAAGTGTTAGATTGTTAAAGAGTAAGAGGTGGAATATTTGTGAAGTTTTTTCTTTTGGATATTTTCATTATTTAAGGGGAGCAAATCATTTTAAGAAATGACTTTCAGAGAAAATTATATTCCAAGAAAGAACATCCCAGTATTTTGAAATTAATTGTGAGTTTGGCTTGCAGCAATACTTTGAAAATAGGCAGAAACCACTTGAGGCTAAGAAGGCAACCGAGAAGAATCCTTACCCACACAAATTCGAACACAAAGTTGAATTGTTGTCTATCCCTGATTATGTGAAGTTGAATGGGGCTGCATTGAATTATTCTAGTGAGAAGTTGAATAGGGTTGCATTGAATTATTCTACTAATGATAAGGAATTATATTTATTTGGTAATGGCTCTTGCTACATGGCAGCATTATTTGTGGCCAAAGGAATTTGTGATAAAAACTGACCATGAGTCTTTAAGATACTTGAAAAGCCAATGTAAATTGAGTAGAAGACATGCTAAATGAGTTGAATTCATTGAGACATTCCCTTATATGATTAGCTACAAGCAAGGTAAAGACAATATAGTTGATGATGCGCTTTCAAGAAGGTACGCTCTTATTTCTACCCTTACTTCTAAATTGAAGGGATTTGATCATATTAAGGATTTATATGTTGATGATTCTGATTTTGATGTAGCATTTTCAGCATGTTTAAATGGGCCTTTTGAGAAGTATAATCTGAAAGATGGGTTTTTTTAAAGAGAATAAATTTTGTGTCCCTAATTGTTCTTTCCGAGAAGTTTTTGTGAGGGAAGAACATTGTGGGGGGCTTATGGAACACTTTGGTGTGCCTAAAACACTTGACATCTTTGCTGAAAATTTATTTTGGCTTAATTTGAGAAAAGATATAGAAAGATTTTGTGCTCAATGACTTTAATGCAAACAAGCTAAATCTAAAGTGTTGCCACATGGTTTATACACGCCATTATCTGTGCCTATTTCACCTTGTATTGATATTTTTATGGACTTTTTGATAGGACTACCTAGAACAAGGTATGGTAAGGATAACATCTTTGTTGTGGTAGATAGGTTCTCAAAAATGGCTCGTTATATTCCTAGTTTAAAGACTAATGATGCTTCTTATGTTGCTAATTTATTTGTTAGAGAAGTTGTTAAATTGCATGGTATACTCGAACTATTGTTAATGATAGGGATGCTAAGTTTCTAAGCCACTTTTGGCGTGTGCTTAGGAGAAAATTGGGAACAAAATTGGTGTTTTCTACTTCATGTCATCTGCAACCTGATGGGCAACCTGAGGTAGTAAATAGAACCTTAGGAAATATGGTAAGAGTTTTTTTAAAAGGAAAATTAACTTCTTGGGAGGATCACTTGCCTATGATAGAATTTGCTTACAATCGAACTGTTCATTCGTCCATTGGTTATTCTCCTTTTGAAGTTGTTTATGGCTTTAACTTCTTCAAACCCCTTTTCTTATTGCCTTTTCCTACTAATGAGATGGTTAATCTTAATGAAAAATAGATAGCTGATTTGATGAAGGATATTCATGAGCATACGAGACTTGCCATTGAAATAAGGAATAAGCAAATAGCTTTATGAAGAAATAAAGGTCAAAAACCAGTTATCTTCGAGCCCGGTGATTTGGTTTGGGTTCATATGAGGAAGGAGAGATTTTATTCAAAAAGAAAGACAAAATTATAGCCTAGAGGAGATGTGCCATTTAAAGTACTTGAATGGATTGGAGATAATGCTTACAAATTGGACCTTCCAGGTGAGTTTCAAGTAAGTGCTACTTTCAATGTTGCTGACTTATCCTTGTTTGATGTAGGTTCAAATTCGAGGACAAATTCTTTTTAAGAGGAAGGGAATGATAGCTCCACGGACAAGGATAAAGCTTTAGAAGCACCAAGAAAGCCATTCACAAGGTCTCAAGCTAAGGAGAAGCAAGACAAGATTGTTGGGCTTTAATGGGAGATCAAGAAGGCGCTAATGCACTACAACAAAAAGAACTTTTAGTGATAATTAATTAGCGGCAATAAGCTAATGGCCAGTAAATAATTTCAAAAACCCGAATACTAGTGGCAATTGCGAATTAGCCGCTATTGGTTACCTTTTTACTGGCGATAAATATGAATAACCACCAAAAGACATTTTTTGAAAGTTGCAAGTATTATTTTAGCTTTCCCTCCACTTTTTTCACTAAAATAACCTATTCCCTCTATTTCTAATCAACAACTAAGTTAAAAAAATTTGAAAAATATTTCAAAAATACAAATGAAGTTTATCATCGCCGCTACCCTCTTCTCGTTATAGTTGACCACCATCCCAAAGTAACTGTTTTCTGTCATCGTGCCTTCTGTCTCACCGTCGATCGTCACCATCCATCCCTAGGTAAAGATTTTCATCGATGATGCTCAGCCACCGTTTCACCATTGCCGATACCATCTCATGGTAAGACAACTTATCTTCATTTTAACTTTGTTGAGATGATTAGTATTGTCTAGTACGTATGAAGAAGATGATGATTGTTCTCCCACATACCCAATATCTTATTTTTGCAATTAACCCTAATATTTTAACTGTAAATTATCGAGGGTAATTGAATTATTCCTTATTACTTGCAGTGGGTTATTAATTGAAGATTAGGGAACTAAGAATATGAATTTAGAGAGAGGGGCGAGAGAATAGAAAGAAAAAGAGTTTGTGTTAAAGGTGGGATCTTTATAGTGAATCCTCTATACAAGAAGTATATTATGAAACATATAAGATTATCTTATTAACATAGTATGCCTATTATTTCTATTTAAGAGAGATGGGTCTCACCTTTCTTTAGACGTATGATTGGTATTATAAACATAGTATGCCTATTCTTTCCATTTAAGAGAGCTGGGTCTCACCTTTCTTTAGACGTATGATTGGTATTATAGTTTTACTGGGTTTATCATAATTGGAATGAAAGTTGAGAAAAAGAAATTAGGTGTAAGTTGATATTAATTCTCGTAAGTAGATACATATTTAGATAATTCTGCTTTAACTTGGATTAAGAATCGAAAAATGAGGGGAAACTGCACCATGAAGATATGAGCAGATTCTTTCAAAGTGTAGTGTGATGACCCAAAGGGTCACCACCTGTTTTTAATTGAATTTTATGACTTCGAGGCCTTGAAAACCTCATTTAGAGTCGCCTTGATTGGCGTGCATAGTCCGGGTACGTAGCCGGAAAGCTTAAATATAAAATTTTGTGGAAAATGCCAAATTTTGATGTTAAAATGAATAAATTTGACCTTGGTCAACGTTTTGGGTAAACGGACCCGGACCCATGAGTTGACGGTCCCGGAGGGTCCGTAGGAAAATATGGGACTTGGGCGTATGCCCGGAATCGAATTCCAAAATCCCAAGCCCGAGAAATGAATTTTTTAGTAAAATTATTTTCTAAAATTGTTTAAGGAAATTTGAAGTGAAAATTGATTAGAACGTGTTAGTATCGAGCCCGTATTTTGGTTTCGGTGCCCGATACAGGTCTCATATATGGTTTAAGTCATTCCTGTGAAATTTGGTTGAAAACAGACGTCGTTGACGTGATTCGGACCTAAATTGAAAAATTCGATGTTTTATGAAGTTTGAAAGAATTCGTGAATTTTGAGGTTTAATCCAATGTTTATGATGTTATTTTGGAGATTTGATCGCACGAATAAGTCCGTAGGATATTTTTGAGGTTGTGTGTGTATTTGGTTTGGAACCCCGAGGGCTCAGGTGAGTTTTGGATAGGCCACGGGTTGCATTTTTTAACTTAAACGTTAGCTGGTATGATCCTGGCTCGCAAATGCGAGCTGCACAGACCTGACCCTTCATCGCAAATGCGAAGGTGACCATGATGGTCAGGGATCGCAAATACGATCAGCATGTCGCAAATGCGAACAATGCTTCGCAATTCCCATATCTGCAGAGGTCGGGGTTCGCAATTGCGAACCTCTGTTCGTATTTCCCATAACTGAGACCTGCAATTTTTACACTTAAACGATTTTGAGCTTCATTTTTCATATCTTCTCAAACCCAAACACACTTAGGCGATTTTCCAAGAACAAGTCTTCTTCCAAATCAATTGTAAGTTAGTTTTTACTCATTTTTTTCAATCATTAACATCTTTTAACATGATTTCAACCAAAAATCAAAGATTTTCATGGGGAAATTGGGTGTTTTGCGTAGAACCTAGGTTTTTCAAAAATTGGGGATTTGGAGCCCGATTTCAAAAAAAATTATATATTTGAGTTCGTGGGGGAATGGGTAATCGGTTTTTGGTTCGAACCTCAGGTTTTGACCTCGTGGGCCCGGGGGCGATTTTGACTTTTTGGGTAAAACTTTGGAAGACTCATTTTCATGCATTGGGGTTGATTCATTTAGCACCTATTGATGTAACTAAGTAATTTGTGATTAGATACGAGCGAATTGGTGGTGGAATCAAGGGGTAAAGCTATAATTGAGGCTTGAGCTGTGTTCAAGGCATCGAGGTAAGTGTTTGGTATAACCTTAGCTTGAGGGATTAGGAGTTGAGTCATATTTGCTATGTGTTTCTTGTGGAGTACGACTTATAGGCATGGTGACGAGTATCTATACATCGGTGTCGAGCATGATCGTGAGTCTTAAATTGACATTTGTTGTATTCTTGAATAATACTATGGTTGCAATAGTGAGTAGATCTGTGGTATTGAGTAAAGGATTAGCTTATTTTCGTAGAAGTATTTATGAGTTGGAAATGGTGATAAGGGAGATGATTAGAAGTTGAATTGAGATTGGTTATAGCTGGTTCTCCCTTGCTGGGACGAATATACTTGTACTGTTGAGTTTCCTTGCCGGGATAGAGTATTTTATGGTTAATCCCTTGCTGGAATTTTTGTCATGATTACTGTGAGCTATATATTTGGAACGGGTTGCGCGCTGTAACATTTTTATTTATGTATACATATATGAATCGGGTTGCACGCCGCAACATATATATTATATTGGATCGGGTTGCACGCCGCAACATATACATATTGGATCGGGTTGCACACCGCAACAGATATATTATATTTATTGGATCGGGTTGCACGCCGCAACAGTTATATATATATATGCCTATGGATCGTGTTGCGCGCCGCAACAATAAGGTTATTATATTGTTTTAGATTATGTATTGTTCCTTCACATTTGTTTAGTTTCTGCTAAGTTGAACTATTTCCGTGAGGCATGTACCCCCTCCCTTTAAACTGCTCATTTCTTGTTTATTTTTCTGCCATATATTGTATATTTGTACAGGTTTATTTGGTAGTCTGGTCCTAGCCTCGTCACTACTTCGCCGAGGTTAGGCTAGGCACTTACCAGCACATGGGGTTGGTTGTGCTGATACTACACTCTGTGCTCTTTTGCACAGATCCAGGTCCCGGAGTAGCATTTGGTCATCAGCAATAGATTGGGAGCTATCCTTCGGTCCGAGACTCCGAGGTAGCCCTGCTGGCGTTCACAGGCCCGGCGTCTCTTTTATCACTTTTTATGTTCTGTTGTCATTTGTACTCGAGACAGACTATGTTCTTTTCCTTCAAACACTTATTTGTAGTAATCCTAGACAGTCCGTGGATGTTGTGACACCAAGTTCTGGTTAGAGGCATGTGTTGGTCTTCAGGATATTTTGGTTTTATATTTTATTTAAGTCTTCCGCTAAATTTCATTTTCCATTGCAATTTATTTGTTTATTTCCGGTAAATTTTATTGGTCAAAGAGGAATTAAAACAGAAAGAGTAAATGATTTCTAAGATCGTGGCTTGCCTAGCTTCTACGAGTAGGCGCCATCACGACTCCCGAGGGTGGGAAATCCGGGTCGTGACAAGTTGGTATCAGAGCACTAGGTTACATAGGTCTCACAATTCATGGACAAGCTCAGTAAATTCTGTGGTATCGGTACGGAGACGTCTGTATTTATCCCCCAGAGGCTACAGAGTTAGGAAAAGTTTCACATTTGTTCTTTCTTGTCGTGCGGTTTGGTTTCTCAAAGCTAATTGAATTTCTAATTTGTTCTTTCGCAAATGGCGAGAACACGCGCTTCCTCATCTACCGCTCAGCAGCCCGAGCCCCCAGCAGCAGCTCCCACGAGGGGCAGAGGGCGAGGCCGAGGCCGTGCTAGAGGCCGAGGTAGGGGCAAAGCTCAGCCCCGAGCAGCACCACCACTGGCGGAGCCTCAGATTGATTTTGACGAGGAGGTTCCGACCCCAGTAGTTCCGGTGGGCCCAGCTCAGGTCCCAGAGGGGTTTATAGCTACCCCAGTTCTTTAGGATGCTCTGGTCCAATTAGTGGGCCTCATGGAGAGTGTCACCCGGGCAGGCTTGCTTCTTGTAGCACCAACCACTTCTTAGGCCGGAGGAGGAGCCCAGACTCCTGCTACTCGTACCCCAGAGCAGGAAGCTCCCCAGACTCAGACTCCAGCAGTTCAGCTAGTTGGAGCAGCTCAGCCGGGCGTGGTAGCCCAGGCCGGTGATGGAGCAGCTATGTCTGCCGATTCCTTGTGAAGATTGGACAGGTTCACCAAGCTCTTCACTTCTACATTCAGTGGTGCATCTACTAGTATCCCCAGGATTATCTGGATAGTTTCCACGAGGTTCTTCGGAACATGGGTATTGTTGAGACCAATGAGGTTGATTTCGTTACATTTCGCTTGTCTGGATCCGCCAAGACTTGGTGAAGGGATTATTGCTTAGCTAGGCCAGCAGGATCATCATCCTTCACATGGAGCAGTTCACACAGCTATTTATGGAGAAGTTTTTCCCCATTACTCAGAGAGAGACCTATTGGAGGCAGTTTGAGCGCCTCCAGCAGAGTTCCATGACGGTCACCAAGTATGAGACCAGGTTCATTGACTTAGCTCGCCATACTCTGGTTATACTCCCTACCGAGAGAGAGAGAGAGAGGGTTAGGAGGTTTATTTATGGCCTTATCCAACCGATTTGTCTTCAGATGGCTAGGGAGGCTGGGAGTGATATCACTTTTCAGGCCATTGTTTGACCAATTTAGCACCTAAAATGTGTCCAAACTTGCAACCCATGAAGTCCCACATAAAGCCACTTTTTATAGAATAAAAAGGACTTAATTGATGTCCAAGAATGGTAC